TTAATAGAATCATAATTCCTACTGAAATAGATATTACTGAAGTGAAAATATACTCAATAATTATTGAAATGGACTTCTTAAACAAAATCAAAGTCAATATTGATATTTAAAAAGGACTACTCACCTTTAAATATAATGATTAAAAAGGAAAAATACCTATTAAATTTATTTATGATGATAGAGAAAAATCAAACTTTGAAGATATAAGTTCTGAAGAAGATGAATCAATAAAGATTCTGAAAGTGAATTTGAGAAATAATACTTGAAAAAGAAGACTTTCCTCATATAGCAGCATGATGATTAGAATATAATAACTTCTAGATAACAAGAATTTCAAGATGATGATAGTGTTGAAATCATTATTAAAAAAGCTTGAATCTCTGTTAAAACTCCAAACTGAAGATTAGGAGATGTTAACTTTGGAGAAATATCATTTTTAATTATTCAAAGTGTTAAATGAATTTATGAAATACAAGCATATCAAGAAGGGATCAAAATTAAATAAAAGAAATACACTTAGAAAGATTTCAAATGACTTAACAAGAAGTTTACTTAATCCTGTAATTAGAATAATCAATAGTTATTTGATTGGCAAGGACTAAATAGTTAATGCTGATGTCATAAAAATCTTTTTATACTTGATCATTAATATTACTAATATTATAATAATCTTACTGACTGGATAGCAATCAAAATTCATAAATATTTCTGTGCTAAATTCAAAACTAATAAAGATTAGGCTGATAAAATTGAACAAGAACTCTTCATTAACAAAAGAGTCAAGAAAAGTTTTGATATATATCAAGCTGCTGTATAACAAATTTATCCTTATAAATTAGTACAAAAAGATTTATATTTTAGATAAATATTAATAGATTATTTTTCAAAGTAAAATTTTAATTCTGTCTTATTTATTTAAATTATTAGATATTGAAATTTATAATAGTGATTAAAAGTAATAACTCAAAGACTAAATTTATTAATAAAATATAGTGAAAATTGAAATTTTCTCTCTATATTAAATTTATAATTTTATTAAGAAATAATTTTTATTTTTATATTAAAATAAAATTTATAGTTATAGTTTAATATATATTTTTTTCAGATTTTTTTAGATTTTTTCTATAAAGAGTTATTCTAATTATAAAGTTAATATAAAAATTTTACTAATTAAAAATGAAATTTAATTAATAAAATTTTTGTACTAACTTTACAATTAAAATAACTCTTTCAGAAAAAATCTAAAAAAATATATATTAACAAAAATTAAATAATTTTTTTGATAATGATTTCTTGTTATATAATGAGTACAAATTATTTTAAAAAACTTGAAATTTTTTCTTTATTAGAATTTGAATTTGAATAAAATTATATAAGAGATAAATTTTAATAATATATAAAAGATATTTAGTTAGTTTTTGGAAATTAGTAAATTTAGGGAGTGAGTATGACAAGATAAGAAATCTTTTGTAATAATTTGTATATAAATAAATCTTTTACAAATATTAATAACTAGTTTTAATAGAGATTTCTGATAATCATTAATAGAAAGAGTTTATATTAATTAATAAAGAATTTCAAGAAGGATCCTAATCAATTATAACAAAATAATACATTTTACTAAAGTAACTTTAGAAGGAATAATTCAGATAGTTTTAGCTAATCAAAAATATAAAGTTAAAAGGTGAATTTAATTTTTGTTAACAAAATCAAAATTCAAATTAGAGATTATTTAGAGTATATAAGTTTTAAAGATAATTAAATAAAAAGATAAATTTACAAGTAAAGAAGTTAATTACAAGTATTTTTTATTTGATTAGAGTATAATATTCAAAAACTAATATCATATTTTTTAAATAAAATTAACTATTACTAATTCTATATCTATTTTATATCAAAAATATAGGTTCTGAATAATGGAATTAAAGATAATATAAATAGTATCAATAAAGAAGTACTGGAAAGAACAAGAATATGAGTTTCAAGAAATATTAATTTAGAGTAGTAATATTAATATCAGATATTTAATTATAGTAGTTTTAATATTATTATTACTATATATATATATTTTATATTTTAGAATAGAATTATTACATCTTTTTATAATAAAAGTTTGAAATTAAAAAATAATTAGTAATGTAAGTCACAAATTTTTTAATATTTCTCAACTTTTCTTTAAATAAATTATGATAAAAAATATATCACTTTATTTAGCAAAGTAGAGCTATTTATATATATATTTAATATTAGGTTAGATATGATTTGCATAAATTATAGCTTACACTCTTTTCAATATATTTTCAATCAAATTTTTTAAAATTTCCAGTCTAATTTTATTTCATTCCTTCATGAGTATATCTATTAATTCTTCTGAATTTTTGAAAATATGATAGTTATATATGAATTTATCTTTTTAAAATATCTATAAATATTGTTATCATAATAATATAAAATTCTTTAATTTCTTAATTTCTTAATTTTTTTAATTTCTTAATTTAAACGATTATCTTAATTTCATAAATTATTTTCTTAATTTCTAATTTTAATATATTTATTACAGATTTTATTTATTATTATTTAATCTTATTTATTATTATTAATTTTATTACTTGTATTATATTTTAAGTCTTGGTATATACTTTATTTTTAGATATTATTTGTTAGTATTTAGCACAGTATTTAGTTTTTGTTTTATACTTGTAATTATATAATGTAGTTACTAGCAAGTTTCTAGCAAAATTCTAATAAATTTGTATAATTTTAAACATGTATAAATAACTTATTCTCAAATATTGAATAAATATACTTGAAATACTTTAATCTTTTTAATTATTACTTTCATTTATCTTTTCTATTGTAATAGATCATATCTGGTTAATACTTGTTTTTCTTGTCTTAAAAATATAAGTAGTAAAAGATCTCTATTTTAAATAGGTTATACTCTTTGTTTTTATTATTTTTATCTTTCAGTTAAAATGATACTAAAAGAGAGTTAAGTGAGTGTACTAAATCTTTTGTTATAATTTTTAGTATTTGATTTGTAATTTAGTTTTTGGTATTATTTTTTTATTTTGCACATATCCTCTTCTTTATTTTTATGAATTCAAAAATAATACTTGTAAGTATTGGCACATGAAAATCTTTAGAATAATCTTGATCCCACTCAATATTATAAATAATTCAGTCTTAGCCCTCAAAACTTATATCTCAGGTAAAACCTACCTCCATAGTAATAGCTTGTAATAATGCTCAATTGAATTTAGATCAGGACTCTGGCAGGTCATGGAAGTGATTTCTCACTTTCCATTCATCAACATGATTATTTCTGTGAACCAGCACATTATTATCTTGAAAATGATGAACAGAACTAGTTAGTAGTTCATCTAAAAATGATCAAAGATGCTGTTCAAGCAATTCTACATATTTTTAGCCAGTTCTTAAACTGTCAACTTCAATTAATGGTCCAAGTGTATTTTGGATAAAACATCCCCATACTATTACTCCTCGATTATCCAATTTCATACTAGGAAGAAGATAATCAACATCATATTTTTCATGGAGTTGATGCCAAACCCATTGATGTGAATCATTTCTGAATATTAAATACCTTGATTCATCACTCCAAATTACTAATTCCCATTCAAGAACCCAATCTTTTCATTCTAGATACCATTTTACTCATTCACGATGATTTTCCTCAGATATGAAAGGTTTTCTTAAACCAGCCCAACCAAAAAACCCACTTTCGTGAAGATTATAACGTATGGTTTTAGAACTAATCAAAATTTCCAAATCAGTATTGAATTTTTTAGTAATCTCATCAACTGATTGTTGCCGGTTATCTTTTACAATGTTGATTATTCTTCGGGTATCTCTATCATTTAATATTAGTGGTCTATCGATTTGGGCAGCAACTGTGGTTTGGCCAAACTCCTTATATTTTTGTATGACGCTATGAACTGTAGATTTGGGTTGTCCCAGAGTTTCGCCTATTTTTTGTTTGGAAAAACCACATCTCCAAGCGCCGACTATCTCACTACGCTCAAAATCCGTAAGTTGGCAATTTCTGGGAGTATTGGTTGAGTTTGACATATTTTTTTTATATCGTTTTAAAACTTAAGATTTTAGCTTTCTAAAGAGCTATTGAATATTGTTACCTGGTGAAATAGATGTGGGGGATCTTCCGAGTAATCCGTGAGACTGTACGAGCATAGGTTGTTTAGTTTTCCATTAATTAATTTATAATTTCGTTGATCAATACTCTGACCCTTTATCGAGTTGATCGGGTTCTCCAATTATGGCACTAGTTCCTGCCTAAGAAGGCAATTCGTCGGTCGTGGTGTCATAGTTTTGTTATTTAGTATTCGTAGCCTTAGGGTAGACTACTTTATTAATAGAGAGTGTGGGGATAGATCAATAATGATTCGAAGGAATGTATGCATTTATTTAAGAATAATAATAATCTTTATTTTATTTAATAAAAACTTTTATTACAATGGTGAATTATTTTATAGTTCTATTGAACTTAATTCTTAATTGTAATTCTATATCGCTTTTCTACTCTAAAGCCCTCCTTATTTATAATCAAATTTTCTCCCACTATTCTCGTCACGATTTATTGGTACACTTCATATATTCGGGATTTATTGGTGCACTCCATATCAGACCATCTTCCCCAACGATGCATCAATCTGAGGCTTTGCTTCGCTGCATCCCGGTTGCATATACTAACTTCACTAATTTCACTAATCACGAGATCTGATCCCGTGCCTAATATCACGCGGATCGGGATCTACATGATGACGCCAGTCCAATTCCATTTTACAGTTAAAATTGGGACGTCTGTGTGTTGCACTGGTAGTACACATCACATCTTTATTTATTTGAATGGTAATAACGATAACGATAAAAACGGAAAATTGATCGTGAGTTTCCCATTTCTAAAATAGACTTTAATAGACAGTAATTCCTTGTCTTATTTGTTTCTTTCTATATAGCACATGACAGAATTTTATCAATTCAGTGAGTTCCAAAACACCAGCCCAATTGGCGGCGACTTTTCTCATATGTCGAATTTTCGTGCATATTGGCCTCGAAAAGAAATCGAAGTCTCGCTTTTTGCATATTACGATTTTGAGCTTGATGAGTCTAGGGACTTTGTTATTTTTCCTAAAGAAGTTTGTGTTAAAAATTCTGGTTCACATACGTATTTAAATATAAAAAGTAGCTAACAGATATGTCAGATAAAATTTGTAGAAAAATTGAAACATCGAAACTTGTTAGGACTTTTAGGCTATGCAATTGGTAAATTTCATTATGTTATGGCAAACTCATATTTGATGCTAATATGTTACCTTGTTCGCAATAAAAGATCATATGTTCGGAGTATTTCTGATTATGGAAAAATGCGAAACATCTCTGGCACAATATTTGAAGGAGAATGAGAGTTTAGATCAGGATTATGCGATTTCTATAGCTAAAGAAATTGTTTCCGGTCTAATTTATTTGGAGGTGGAAGCAAAATATGATATCCAGAATCTGGTGAATATTACAAAATTTTTTATATCAAATATTCAATTAACATGTTTGGTAATGAAACTTGCAATTATTAGAATACAATGAATATTTGGATGGATGAGAATACACCAAAATTTGCCCACTTGTTAATGATTCAAACACCCCCCGACGTTCCAAATCTAAAGTATAATTTTTATGGTTATCTCAAATTTATCGATCCAAACTTCATTAAAGATCCAGATTTTGTTTGCGATAAACGTTCAAACATATTCAGCCTTGGGATCACTCTCGCGTCACTTGCAAGAATTTCAGTATATGATTCTGATGATGCAGAGCAGTTTGTGATCAATGTTTATAATGAAAACGCGCGTTGGAACGCTGATAGGATATCCGTTGAATATGTTCAACTATGCCAACGCTGTTGCGCGTCAGATCCGGATTTAAGGCCAAGTCTTAATGAAGTCTTGCTCTCGCTTGTAAATTTAGAAACATGTATCAATCATGTTAAAACAAACGCATCAGAATTAGATGTGTATTCCCAAGAAACGAAAATATTGGAGAAATCGTCAGAATCAATGCTTCCCTCATTTATCAATTTAGCAAAAATCATTGCAGAAAGTGAATATGATATCTTGGAAAGCACCTTAAAGATATTTGATAAATTGACAAGAATTTTCGGAAACGACGACATAGTATTCAAGAAAATAGAAAAACACCTCGCGATATTAGGTCAAACTCCGCATAACTTTATTGGCATTTTGAAAAAATTACGTTTTCTACCAAAATGTGCCTGCTTACTCGGCTTCTTTAATCATATCGATCGCGCTGATCTCAAACAAGCATTTTATTGGTACAAAGTTGCATCAGATGGAAAAGATGATTTTGGTGCAAATCAGTTAGGATATTGCTATTCAAACTGCATAGGTATAGGGTATGATGAAGAGCTTGCTTTTGAATTGTATCAAGTATCCGCGAAAAGAGGACATCCACAAGGAGTATCGAATTCAGCACATAGACTTTATGAACAAGATGCGGAAAAGGCATTCGAAATGTATCATAGCATCGCGAAAACTGGGTATATAATTGGGCAATTCTATACTGGTTCATGTTATGAGAGTGGCCACGGCGTTACGATAAATCTTCGAGCTGCCACTTATTGGTTTAAAAAAGCTGCTGAAGGTGAACATAAGAAAGGAGCATACTCTTTGAGCTCCAATCTAAGAAATGGTCATGGAACGAATGTAGATATACACGAGGCAATTCGATGGTGTCGAAAAGCGACAAGTAACGGAAGCAGATATGCTAGATATGCTTTGAAGAAAACTTTCAGGGTCATATAATAGTAATATTAATCAAAACCAAATAGTTTTTCTATTTGAACGAGTTTTTCTTGTTATCAACTTAAACTTTTCCCGCTCTTTGTCAATCTCTGATAAGATGTTTTTAAAGAGATCGTACGAATTTATTTATAAGTATATTGTCTTGGTTTATTAATACACATCTGCTCGAACGCAAGTAATGTCTTTGTTAGAAACTAAGAAAGCATGTTCATTTATTCCTTTGTGTTCCATTGATTCTTCATAGCGACCGCTGAAATGAGATTTTCGATTTTTTTGCGCGTTCTTCGGCAATTTTGTAGAAGAATGAGCTCTAAAACACGTAATTTATTGCAAAATAAGCAACAACAAAAAAAGGTGTGCCCGCGTTACGAACATCTCCCTTGTACAAAATGCCATTCTTATTTGCTAATAGCCAAGTAGTATCCCATTCAAACTAACCTAAAATATGATACGAACATCAATTATTGGAAATAGTAATTATACTAACATTGTCTAAACATTAAAATTGAACAAACCGAAAAAGTCTGTTACATTTGCATTTCCGTATCATCCTAAACATTTCCTATTGTCATCATATTTTGAAAAAATTTTTAGGATAAACGACTCACATTAACAAGGCGATGTTTTTGTACCCCTGAATCGTATGTTTCTGAGTCAGATCCGTGTTTCCCTTTGCGTTTGTGAATGTTGTCAGTATAAATTAGGAAAGTAGGATTCAGGTTCCAGTAATCCACGAAAAAGATCCGTGAATTACTAGAAAAGAAGATTACGTTGAAGCCTAAAGGTCTAAGGCCCGAAATCCTAATCACCAGTTGAAATCAAATATCAAGTCATCGTTCGCAAGTTCTTATTCAATGCAATGATTGTTAGCAAAGAATCGAATAATTCCATCGCTGTCAGTGTCGAAAAAGTATGTAGTTGAAGAACTTGCCTCAAAATTTGTTATTAAAAAGTCAAATACGAATAAAACTAATTAATAAATTCAGAAAAGCACCGTTCGATTCCTGATATTTCGACCTTGTGTGCCATCTGGTTTCTCGCGCGAAGCAGCGATGGTAGCACGTGGTGCTCCTATAATCAAAAAATTATACACGATATAGCAGGATTTCAAAAATATATATTAACTTGCCTGAATTTTATCAAGATCAGGTAGTGCAGGACGTTGTTTTATCACTGGGACTTCGTTGATTGACATTTTTTTAAGATAAAAAAATTTTATTTCTTGCAAAATGATAAAAATAAAATTATCGTTATTTGAATGGATCCTTTAAAAGATTTATCAATATTGCATAGGAAATTTGAAACAATTTATAAAGCTATTTTGTTATGTTTTTTAAAAGATTCAACCTGTTATAAGTTAAAAAAAGGGTTTTATACATTTATATAGAATAAAATGAATGGAAAAATTCATGCATTTAATCGTTTTTATCGATATCAAGCAGGAATTTGTAACTTACCAGCCTGTTCGGCAGATATAAAAAACAAAGAAATTTACGGAGTACTTCTTTACATTGCTCAGAGAAAGCCATACGTTGAAGATGCAGAGATTTATAGGTTGGAATGGTTATGTACGAGATTGGAACAGAGAACGATCATTCAATGAAAGAAATCATGCATACTTTTCCAGAAAACAGACCAAGTGCTGAAGAATTTGTCTCAGATCTATCGACGACGAGGATGAGGTTGAAGAGTGGAATCCGAATACTTGACAATTATAATATTATGACTTTTTAGATAGTTTAAAATACATTAAAGAGTGTCTTAAACTAGAAAGGAGATGAAAACAAAGATAACAAACCACTCGAGCGCAGTTTATGCTATTGAATCTATACCAAAAAATTAATTTCAATTCCAGCTGATAGAGGTGTTTTTTGTTTCGAAAGCTAATAATGTTGGCATTTCACATTAATTAAAATTATCGAATAATATCTAGGTCTTAAGAATGTTAGTTTGTATGAATATCCACAATTGTACGCAACAATAATTATAATTCCTATATTATTTGTTTATTATACAATATTAGTACATACAGTACCCGGCGAAAAGAATGGCGTTTCCTCCTCTCCGATTAGGACCAATGTTTATATTACCAAATTAGGAAGTGGAACGCCATTTTAAAAAACAAGATGTAAACAATGACTTTTAGTATTGTTTACACCTTGTTTTTACGTCTCAAAATGGCACCAACCCCTCTCGAAGCACAACGAAATGCCGTTAAATCGCTCTGGCAATAAAATGTCCAAAATCCAAAGGAAATTTCCCAGTGATTGGGCGTTTCCTTACGATCCTGTGAGGGTTATGTCAGTTTATTGCGTAAAACTGGCAAAATTCCCGTTGGTCACTCATCTGGTCGCCCTCGAAAGTTGACTCTCCACCATATTGGAATGATTGTGAAACATAATCATTTCACTACAATGCCAGAGCTCAAGACTAAACTAGAAGAAAATAATTTTGAACTTGAGGTTAGTGAACGTACTATTCGTTGTGAGCTCGGTTTTGTTTCGGTTCTTCCCAGGAGAGTCCCTCTTCTAATCCAACAAGCGACTTGTCTTGGGCACGTGATCATGCCCGATATAACTGGAAAAAAGTTGTTTTTTCCGACGAAACAACGATTCAGATGTTTCGTAATACCCTTCTCGCGTGGTCTCGGGTGCAAAACCTGTTGCACCTATGGTGAAGCATCCATTCAAAGTCCACATTTGGGCAGCGATTAGTGTTAAGGGAAAAATCGGGATACATTTGTTCACCGAAAATATGGATCGTCATTTGTATCGTAAAATTCTTAACGACCACCTGTATGACAATGCAGATGCATTGTATGGCCATAGGTGGGTCTTCAACAGGATAATGACCCCAAACACACTTCCAATGACGTTTAGAATGACTTAAAAGAACATCTTCGGGATCATGTTCTTCCCTGGTCTTCGTATAGTCCTGATCTCAACCCTATCGAAAATGTATGGGCTATTTTAAAGAGGAAGGTAGAGAAAATATTAAGAATATGGTGGCGCAAAATAAAAAAATCTCAAAAGAGATTTTTCTCGCCGTTATTAAGCAGGAATGGGATTATATCGAAAATGATGTGTTAGTTCGATGCATCGATAGCATGCGAAACCGGGTTAAGGCATGTATCGATGCAGAAGGATGCCATGCGTATTGACCTAATAAGGAGAAATATAGCATTAGTGTTTATCTTTTATGTAAAAAAAAAACGCAATCGATAATAAATTACTTGTGTGATGTCAAAAAATCTGTCCGCCATTCTTTTCGCCGGGTACTGTATCTCACGAAAGTTTAAGTAACAATACAATGACAATGTTTCAAAGATTATAAACGAACAACAAACTATTGAAAACGTGTTGGAGTATCAAATGATGGATCAGTATAGTGATAAGATTCTACCTATTAATTAAGGTGTAAAGAATCAAAGGTTTTGCAAGATTTCAACTCTATACGACAAAAATGAAGTACATGTACATTCTTTTCATATCAATAAATTACATAACGATAATATGAACAAAGTCAATATTTTCCATGAAACCGCATTTTGTGTTCTAAGAAAAACGTTCCTTGCGAAATTTTACTATAAATTTTATGTGCTATATACCTTAACGCCGACCTTTATCCTCATCGTAATTGAATGCTATTAATATTT